AATTAGATCGGCGGAGAATTAGGTCAGACCTTGGGTCGGCCCAATTTAATCCTAGCTAGCCATGAGCTAAGTAAGGTCACTCGCAGACGCCTGGTGAGCGTCGGGCAAGGCTGGAAGGCGAGCAACAGGCACGGATAGCGAGCGAGCGCCAGGCACGGCTAGCTCGCCGAAGCTATCTAGGTCATGTCAGTAAACCTAACATCATCACTAAATAAATATATTTTTCCTCACTGATCACCTCCCCACTAGCCGCCGATAAAACATTTGTCAAAGTTTTAGCAATTATTTTGGAATGGAAACCAATCAAACTAATTGGTCTAATATCTTTGACAAAAAATTGGATCTACCACTTTTGGATTTATTGTAACAAACAAGGAGTTACAAATCTTACACATTTAACTCATCTCTTGGAAGACCGTCATAAAGTCACAACATTTTTTCCAACAAGAATCCAAAACCTTTAAAAAAACTCAAAAGTAAATCAATTTAGCTACGTGGCTTTGTTGTTGCCACAACTTCATTGCTTCTTTTATCTTAGACAAAACTGCAAAGTTGGTCCCTGTGGTATTCAAAAAACTTTGGATAGGGTCCAAAATATTTTTAACTTGCATAGACAGTCCAAAATCAAGAATTTTTGTTGGTTTTGGTCCATAGAGAACTTAAATAGACCGTTTTGCCCTTTTATTTATTTTTTGTATTTTTTTATATTTCCTTTAATAATTTATTCATTAAAATTAAAAACAAAAGAATTAGGCCCACCCCACCCCTTCCCCTACCGATGCTCTCTCTCTCTCTCTCTCTCTCTCTCTCTCTCTCTCTCTCTCTCCTGCATATTCTTAAAATAAAAATAAAATAAAATCCCGCTGGTAACCTACTCCCCCTTTATCAGACTCTCTCCCCTATCTTCTTCTTCCTCACCCTCATGTCTAAATCAAGCTTATAGCAAATCGATGACATCATGAAGAAACAAATTGATTTCTGGGTTTTCGGACTAAAACAAATCGATAGGTGGAGGAACCGGTAGAAGATCTAATGAGAAAACGTCCAGATTTGGATCAAGAACGACTGTATCTCTCTCTCTCTCTCTCTCTCTCTCTCTCTCTCTCTCTCTTCATCTTCAACCTTCATATTCTCAAATGGCAGAACTGTAAGAGTTTAAACTGATGGTATGAAGAAGTCCGACTTATTAGATCTGATAAACTTGTTGGATGTGTCTTAATCTACCTTTGTTATGGCGACGAGAATGGAAGATGCCTCTTGATTCATCTCTGGATACTATGTGAATTCTGATTTTCTGGAAAGGATCGATCCCAACCAATATCCTACCAGTTCCTGATGGATGTGTACGCTGATTCCCCATTGAAGATACCGATTTGGAGATGTAATTTTATTTGATTTGGTGGTGGCCGGTGGTGGCCCTCCGTAGGTGACGGAGGGAGAGTGTAACCACCATTGTTGAAATTTCAAAATGCAGAAAATAAAGGGCTTAAAAAAGCAATTTGGTGGAGAGAGAGAGAGAGAGAGAGAGAGATACAGAGGTCCGAGATGAACAGAAAACACAGAGGAAGTGGTGAATCGAGATGCTGAAATTATGAATTCCCCGATACTGAAGTGGTGACTTCTGGGTTTTTTCCTCTCCGATGTATGTATGTGTTTGTAAAATACTTTTGAGCTACAAATGAAGGTGTGTGTGTGTGTGACAGAGAGGGGGGGGGGGCGGATGGAGTGATAAGGTGGGTAGTTTAATTTTTTTTTAAACTGAAAATGTATTAATATAAATTTAAATAATAGAAAAAAGAAATTTAAAGGGCATAATCGTCTTATCAAGTTTTTTGGACTAAAAACCTAGAAAACCCTTCATTTTAGACCTTCTATGCAAGTGGGAAAGTTTTTTGACCCCATCCAAAAGTTTTTGAATACTACAAGGACCAATCTTGCAGTTTTGTCTTTATCTTACTATTCGAAAATAGAGCTTTAAGAACTTTAATGAAATCAACCAAAAGACGCTTAAACATATTACTTTGTGGTGTATGTCGGAAATTCTTCAATTCCCCAAACTATTATTGAAATAAATAATGAAAGAACTCATTTTAATACAAACATACATTATCGATTACCCAATTCCCTTCCACAATGATCACTTGAATAATGTGTTGTCTTCTTCTCCATAGTAATTGTCATGAAAGAACCTTGAGTTCTCATCGAACTCCACAGTTCAGCTCCAAGTAATTTTGGCTTTTTTGGCTCTCATCGCCCTCGACACCCAACTTAACCTTGGCATGCATTCACACATCACACATGAAGGACTAAGAGTATTTAAACAATAATATTAAGAAGATATATTATCGCGCCTTAAAATGTATTTATGTAATCCCTATTCTAATAAATGAATAAGTTTATTCTCCTATTGACAAGTGTCACAATATTAGAAATCATCATTAATATTATATGCCACCTATCATGCCACATGTCAACCTATTAATTCTCTATTTCAAATTTTAAATTTTAAATTTTAAATTTATCATTTTAATTACATTAAATTAATGATTAATTCTTTATTTCAAATTTCAAATTTTAAATTTTACACTGTAATTACATTACATTAATAACACTAGAATAAAAACTAAAGTAAAATTAATGTATATTATAAGGTGATATAATTTAATGTATTTATTTAAATCAACGATTATAATTTTATATAACTAAAAAAATATTATCTATTATCTAATAATTTATTTAAAATAATCTATTTGAAATAATTGATTAATAATTTTAAGTTTTTACTATAAAGTTTAATTAATTTTATAACCGTGGTTCTCACGGATTATAAATGTAATATGTAGTATGTACATAAGTGGTTCTCACGTAGTATGTACATATATAACTATATTATTTTAATTCAGGATATAAAATTTCCATGTTTATAATATATGCATTTAAATGTAATAAGTGAATATTAGGGTTTCTAGCATGTAGTCAAGGAAAAATCTAGCATGTACCAAGGTGAGTCAATGGAGAATCTAACATGTACCTCATGTAGAATATATGCATTTAAAAATTTTTGGACTTATCTTGAAAAAAAATTACGTCCTATCTTTTATTATTGGAAAAAAAACAAATAAATAAACAACAAACTATGGAATGATTATATTTCAATTTGCAAAGCAAATTGTTAATATTTATCAAGCGCTATTCCATATCGCGGATAAAGAGAA